CATAAAGTCCATCTCTGTGATATGCTTTCATATGCAGAAGTTGCATTAAAAAGGATTTTGGTATCTCATGTAGTGCTACGCTATATTGCAAAGGTAACATAATAACAGGTCTCTTAGATTTATATCTTGTGTCTGTTACTCTAGAACATTCTACCCGTATATTACTGAATCAAGCAATGACACTTTCAATCACTTATTTATTTCTGTTGGAGTTCTATTTCTGCTTTGATTAGAAATATATGTTGTTGTATCAACAAAAAGCCATAAAAGATTGGCTATCCTGAACATTACAGAGGAAGAACTTTACTTACAAAACAAGAAGAAAGATCTAAGAGCAGAGTAAAGATAATAGTTACAAACATTTTAGGTCTCTCCAATAGCATGAATATCAGATGCAGTCAAACAGAACAACATATGACTTTGGGGGTCTGCACATTTTATTATAGATAAATCCAATCAATTTTACATTCCATTTCAATTAATCAAACTTAACATTACTCAGTCAATTGTAGTAGTGTAGATCTTTTTCTATACTCAAAAGAGCCTATTGATAAAAGCTGCAATTTTATCCTTCATAATAATTTGTGAACCCTAGATTTCTCATGCTAAGGTAATGGATCAAGTATCCAACAATGAAGCAAAGTTCTTCGAGACACACCTCTAATTCAGAAGATCTTTTCGTTTTGAGACTCAAACAATCAACAAGAGTGGTCCACTTTCCAGAACAATTGTCAAGATTGCCAAGCCGATAGTATTGGGGCTGCCAAAACATGATAGTCCATTAATTTGACGATTATGGAACCGATAGCAGATATCATTAGTAAATCCTCTAAACTTATTGATCCGTTCACGACTGTTGTGAAGAAAAAGCTCTAAACTTTGAATTGGACCCGCAATTTCCATCAGACCATATCATGAATAAATCCTCCAACAGATACAAGTAAAGTCAATTTAATCACAAGAATCCATTGAAATTGCGGTCGCATGGTAAAACTAAGAATTATAAGCAATTTAGTAAGTAAAAATGAAAACTAGAAAGGAGAAGGGGAAGATTGCAGCGTACAATAGCAAAACCAGAGGGCGTCGAAGTGTTTGGTGCACGATAAGCGCCGCCACGGCGGCGGCTTCTTCCTTCTCTAGACTATCCAACTCCCTATTCCTTCCCTCGTCAAATTTACACTCTATTGGTAAAGTGCGTATAAATGAGCCCAAGGTGGACGATAATTTCGTGGGTTTGAATAAAAAATTGTTGTCTTCGGATTAGAAGTAGATCAAAGAAGTGTGGAGATTTTGCCCCCATCTGAATTAGATACAGATTCAATTTTTTACTAAATTTTGATAAAAAAAATAATAATAAATAAATAAATGAAAATAAAAATAATAAAATAAATAATAATAATAATAATAATAATAATAATAATAATAATAATAATAATAATAATAATGAAATATTTGATTAAGAAGTTATGAAACTCGTAAAAGGTACGATTAAAATTAATTATTAATTTTGACTAAAATTTTTTAACTTAACCAAACAGGGGTTCAATAGTAAAGAAAGAGGCTGTTAATAAAAATGAAAACATCTCACAACAACTATGTTACAAAATCATATTCAAACATGTTCATGATTAATGTAAATAGTGATATAGAATCATAGATACTTCTAAAGTAAATTATTTGAGAATTTCGAATTAAACTCTTTGATTGCCTGAATACTTATTAGTGTTGTGTACAATTTTTTAAAATAAACATTATGCAAGATTTTGGTAAGATTCATTGTGTTATTTTTATTATTTGAGATTAACGTTAGTTATAATGTTTTTAAATTTCAATCACATTCAGATAATTAAACTAAACTCACAATCCAAACTGATATATAGTTGAAAACTTGAAAAAGGACTCTAAATTCATCTTTATATTTCTATTGTTCAAAATATATACAGTACAGATAAGTTAATCAGAAATTTGCAACTTCAATATAACTAACTATTTTTCTATCCACTTGTTGAATCCTCAATTTCTCACCAATGGCACCTTAAAACGAGTCAACAACAAAGAGAACTCACTACCTTGGCAATAGATACCTTATCAAAACAATCCCATATCAAGAAGCTCACCAAAATGCTTTCCGATTAATTCCACAAACGAATTCATGTACTGTGAGATGATCCTATAGGAAAAAACAAGAAGAATCTTCGGGATTTGATTAGTTAGAACCAGTAAATTATCTATCTGGTTTAAGTAAAGAGCATTTTAAGTTCTTCTATGCGTGCAATTCGAACTTCTTGGTCAGTTAAAGCCCCAGATATCATCCGCTGCTTCCTAGCTTGAACTGCTTCCATCCTTTCTTCGACTGTGCCCTGCAATACAAGAAGCTTCAAATGAACATTTGTTGCTAAGCCTGCTACGGGTACACCATGGTGTACAACCCACTCATAGTGGGAGCACGATTGGCTATAGCATGGTGTACAACCAATAATATTCAAAAGATAAAAGAGTGATAAAATAAGCATACCTTCACAATAAACCATTTGATCATCACTCTCTTAGTTTGTCCAATCCGATGAATACGCATAACGGCTTGTTCCTCTACTGCTGGATTCCACCATGGATCCTACAAGGATAGAATATCTCAGGTATTAAACAATGAGCATGCTGCAAAATCAGTAAAAGTTGCACAATGAAAAATTGTAAATTTAGAAAAAAAAAAAATACTAAATTAACTAGTCACTAATCCACAGCTTCAAATTTTGCAGGTGATAAAACGTATAAGAATTAGAAGTCTGACCACCTAACATATGATAAAACAGGAAAATATCTACACAAAATCTAAACGGAGTTTTTAATGATAGAAATACATCCCCAAATCAGGAAAAAATGAGTGTAAGCAAAAGAGAAGCAAGATGGCCCCTGTTCCTTCCCCTCTTTCTTCCATTTTGTTTTCTACTAGATTTCCAAAGG